ACACTCAATGGCCGTTTCATGTTGTGCCTTGCGCAGTCCACCGCCCCAATTCCCGATGATGCGGTCCCGCGGGCTTCACGATCCGGCTTATCGACTGCATCGTGGGCAACACAGCGACTTTTCTAATGCCGGTTAGTGGGAAAATCTTTATGACATCAAACACACACTGGCTGCCAATCGTTCCAATGCTTCTTGACATGGGACATGTACTCTTCAACCTCACAATAGAATGCCCAACCATGACCCAGTCCAGGGTCTTTTTGTTCAGATGATACATCTTTCCATTTCAAGCGGAAATTTGCATCGATAGCCAAGAACAACACAAATAAAAACCTGGAAAAAATTAATCATGCCGATCGTCCATGCACTCATATCATACTACGTTGATCCTCGGGAGCTTTGTCCCAATCAGCGGGAAGGTTTTTCCCTGGTTGAGGGCATGCAGGGCAAAGAAGTGCGCACTCCCCTGGTTGGGTGCCTGCAACACCAGTCGAGGAGTTTCCGCGGCCCGCGCGCTTGAGCATTTGGAGGTTGCGCCATTGCTTTGTCATTCGAAGGAACTCGTCATACTGATCCTGATGCGACAATTAACCGTCTGATTGTCAATAACACATGGCATACCCGGATCGCAAGTAGTCCCATATTATCGGTTTGACGTGCAAGCAAATAATAGTAGTCATAAACGCTGCATTTGGACTCCAAGAAGCTGAGGTGAAAGTGACGCAAACATTGATGGTAGCAGCGGTGCGTGGATTTATTGTTGTTGCAGGATACAGGCCAGATCGAAGAAGCTGCTGAGTTGGTGTTCCGCTGGTCAAACAGCCACAGAAGTCAAGTCCACCAGGCCCAAGCCTCAGGCCCGACTAAGCCCGAGCCCTGATCCGGGCCGGGCTCGGGCTGCCCGACGCGGGCTGGGCCGGGCTTTGGGCTCAAAGCCCGGCCCGGCAGACTACTACCAGCTAAGCAGTCTTGGCATCGATACTGACCCGGCTCCTTCTGACAGACGCCGCAAGCGGAGGATTGCTGCTTGCCTCGCCCTTCTTGGTAGAGCAGTTCTGACAGAAAGGAATCACGGTGATGCTGCACCCGGAGTGGATCATCCTGTGAAAAGTGAGTGATAGATACATGGGTAACAGGATTGACTTACCGACTCCCGCAAACATGAAATTGGAATGGCATGCATCCTGACTTCAGGTTCCCTTCCTGGACATCCAGGTTTCCCTCAAACCTGACGAGAGGGAACCAGTGTCTGTCCCACAATTCAGGATAGTCACTAGTGTGCACCAGAAGGAACTGAATGCGTACCTCTATATCCCCTGGTTATCTAGCCACTAACCCGAATCCAAACGCGCCTGGATCAAGGGTGAGCTGATTCGTTACATACGGATCTGCTCACGCAGAACCGACTACCTCACTATTGCAGTAAAGTTCGGCGAACGCTTAAGAGCACGAGGCTACCCAGGACGTTGGCTCCAGAACGTCTTTGACGAGATCCAGTACGACATTGAACGCCCAACCGTGCTCAATCCAAAGCTGACCAACATCAGCTGTGGAGGTAGTGCCGGCCAGAATTATATTATGGTTGATTAAATATTGAATATATTCAGAATATTATGAATATATTATGCCCTTGGTGGATCACTTGAATATGATTATGTTTGAGTATATTATATTATATTATGACTATACTATATTATAGGCCCAGAATATTCAAATATAGTAAGGTGGATGATCACAGCTATTTTCTTAGTCCATGTACTCAGTCATAGTACTAATCTTAGTCTGAGTTAGCCCTACTTCTGATAAATGTTATTACTCTTATATTAAGCAGATGTCGTGTGAATGTATGTACATGTTTGGCGCTGGCCCCAGCAATTCATTTGCTCCACATTTCCATTTTTGGGATCAGTGCTGTTGAGGCCCCGAATTGGTAATGAAAGCTGTAAAATAGGACCAATCCTAATTGGGATACAAAGCTGTACATGATATCTTACACCCAGTACCCTAAAAACATTATATCTAGAGTTATTTCCCATGCTAATACCTGAGTGTGTACTAAGTATTGTCAATTTGTCCACAAATGAATAACTAGGTATATGAAATTTACAGACTTAAATTGCAATCTATGTGGATATTGGTAGACCAAATATTTAAGAGGGTTATTGTGCCAGTAATTAGTGGGATTTCTTTAGATTTAGAAATTCACTTTCAAGTTATTCAAGTCATATTCAGAGCTGGGGCGTAGCCCCAGCCCTGTCTAGTCACATATTATCTATTATCTATGGTGATTCATACATTACACCTATTAGGAACAAGTGTCAGGAGTGATCACTTTGGGTTGACCCTATTAAACATAGTGTAGAACCCCTGATCAGACTGGAGGTGCCGAACTGCATGTCCTCAAAGTCACCCACAACCCTATCTGGGATGAAATAGACCTTCACCCGATATGGAGTGAGCTGGATGATGCCTGGAAAAATCTCGGAATCGGCTTCCCTGAATACCGCTTCACACTGGGTGCAAACCCAAAGGCAGTTTGCTAATGGGAGCCCCAACGGGAGTGGAAAGAAAGACAAAGATTTCTTTGTTTCAAACAAAGAAAAAAAAATTTGCTTTTAAACTCCCGTTGGACCCCCCTTAGCCAACTGCCATTGCACTTGCTACCAGTGAGCTTCATGGCATCATACAGAAAACCAGCCTCACTGGGTGACCGATTGAATGTGTGCAATCGAGACACTCTGGAGAATCATCAACAGTCGACTGCGACAAACATTTAGGCTTCTTTTTTCTCAATCCTCAATCGCACCTCGTGACGGGCCTTACTCGGTGCTCTTTCGGATTTCGAAAAAAATTCATAGAACCTCTACGATTGTCCTCTGTTTTAATATTTATCTACTTTACATGCTTCCTTGTTGAGCCCCATAGAGGTTCCGAGAGCACTCCCGATGCCTATGACTTGCCCTTTGAGTGGTCTATCCGAGACCCAGGCATAAGTCGCCTTCAGGCGATCTTGAAAGTTTGAAGCTGCAGGAGGTATTGTAATGAATATGCCTGGCTGATCCACCCACAATACCCCGGGATGATGCTAGCATCACGGCGTGAACGGACTGCCAGGGAACAGAGCTGCTTTATTTCCTTGTCGAGCTTCATTCAGAGTGATCCAAGGAATAACGCTGGCGAGTTTATTGGCAAGGAAGTGCAAACATCGACTGTTGACATAAGACGGGAAATCACCTGACAAGTCTCTCTTGATGAAACATTGCCAACGTCGTGGCCCCCCGTTCTCGACAAAACGACCTAGCACGTCTCAACTCAGCCCCCAGCTTCACAGCCCGGCACCCACACAGCCCGGCATTGTTTTATATATATATATACTCGCCTTTCGACGGTGAGGCATTTTCGCACAATGGTGAGGCAAAACGGTGAGTAGATAAGGGCCACGGACACGTGGCTTGATGTGCACAGCATCTCAATCTATATTGATGTGATCTCATTGACACCGAGTTCACCCAACAATTTACAGCCTATCTGACACAGTAGAAACTCAGACTTGTGTGGAATATTGCCCATGAGGGTTGATGGATAGCATCTTAGAGTGGGAGACATGTTCTGCTTGTTGCAATATTGGCCTATGTTCAAGAAATGATTGAATCAACAAGGTTTGATGGCAGCCACAATCCACACAGTAAGGCAACCAGTGGTCTAAGAATTATGCTCTGTTATTTTGAGTGAAGATATATGTGTTAAGAGTTGACCACCTTATTTCTAAGGTTATACAACAAGAAACTGACCATATATGTCAATTTTCAATCAGTTATAGTTTGTGCAGATAAAGTCTGTGAAGGATGAATCTGCGACTTAGATATTGATCAGGGGTGTAGGGATGGAGCTTACTTAACAGGTAACAGTTTGCCCTGCATAAGTCTATGTTTCCTTCAACTACTATAGGTACTCAAACTTAAGGTGATTATTTACAATTTCATTTTATTTTGGTACCAACAAAGAGTTTTTGACAAAACTAAAAACATAGAAGGTTTTCCTACACATGTATAGATTATATGTATTGTTTAAAAAGAGATACCGGAATGAAATTCAGAAGAAGGCGCACCATATGGAAGCCCTCGCTGCAACGTGGCTCGTAGCATGTGTCCCCACTTTGTCCCCCACTTTGTCCCCACCCGTGGCCAGCGGTGTCGAGGGCAGGGCCTTCTGGAGGGTGCGAAGGCCGGCCTGTACATCATCGTTAGAGGCCGCGAGTGCTCATATTCGGAGGTAGAACGTGGTGGGAGAAGACAAGTCGTGAGTGCCACGTAAGCGGCCATCGGCCCGGGTCCGGTAGGTGTGTGACATGTCACTCGTCCCAAAATGGAAGTCTTCTTTTCTTCCCGCTGCCACGACGAGCGGTGACGTGGCACGCTCACGCTGGCTGGCGACCCTCTCAACGACCATGTTGGTCCTCCATTCTGCTCTCCCCAGGAAACACACCATCGGGGCCGCCCGGTATTTCCCCGCGGCTTCGATTTCGCTCACACAGACTGAACAGACGCGCTGGCATGATGGCATCTGCCAGGCTAGTTTCCATTGCTGTTCCTGGGGAATGAAGGAACGGATCCGTCGAACTGGCTTTCATTAGCGCTCATGGGTATTCACCAGGTGGCAGTCGTGCCTCGAATCCGACGCGCGGAGGCGTCCCGTGCTCTTGCATCATTCAACGCTCAAATTACACCCCGTCAGCGCGTCTCTATGCGGGGCATCAGCTCCCGCGGTATGCTCTACGCCGCGGCGCGCGGGCAGCCATCTTAGCTCGCCCCACTGCCATCTGCCGTCAGTCTGGCGTCAGTCCCGCGCGGCGCTCGGCACTTGCCAGTCGTCAGGGTATATAAAGCGGGGGCATACACACGCCCGTCCACTAGTGCTTATTGCCCTGTCTAAAGTGCGCTTCTCGTCTTCCTTCTCCTCCCGCTCCCCGTTCAATTCTGACCGAGCACCTAGCAACCACTATGAGCATCGGCACCGCAGCCTTCAACTTCACGCGGCTCTCTGGCACGTGGATCAACGAGCTCTCCTCCGTGCTCGTCCTCCACGCGGACAAGACCGGCGGGCTCACCGGGACGTACAACTCGGCGGTCGGCACGGCCGAGGACGAGTACATCGTCACGGGGCGCTTCGACACGACCCCGCCCGCGGGCGAGGGCGTCGCGCTCGGCTGGGTCGTCGCGTGGAAGAACAAGAAGCTCGACGCGCACTCGGCAACGGGCTGGAGCGGCCAGTTCTACGCCGGGGCCAGCCACCTCCAGGACACCATCCTCACGCAGTGGCTCCTCACCAGCAGCACCACGCCCGCCAACAACTGGGAGAGCACTAATGTTGGCACGGACCTGTTCAAGCCGAAGGCCGCTGTTTCGGGGCGCAGCGCTAGCGAGGGGCCTGTCGTCGCGCGGTTTGCGTCGCCCACTCCGGAACAGATCGTCGCCAAGAGAAGCAGCTTGAACGATCTTGACTAGATATCGTGTATTGTCGGTAATAGTGCAGTCCTACCAAGTCCACAATGAAGTTCCTTTTAGCTGAGTTGATGAGTGCTTTTCGTCAAGGAGCGGCCACTGGCAAGGATCAAATCCGAGTCATGCTGCCGGCAAGGCCGGCAAGAATCTCACCGAAGCCCATAGACGCTTCTGCCATCAACGGCATAGCCTTTCAGAGTCATCCGACGCGTGGCACGTCCACACCAGGAAGCTATAAAAACGAGGGCCTCTCTACCACGTTCCCCCAGGAAAGTCGGGATGGACAGTCGCAAGAATTACTCGCAGGTCGATCCGCAAGAGTTGGGGCGAACGTCACCGACAGACCCGGCCCCGGCTTTGGAGGAGCTAGTGAACCCAGGGGTGAGTGGGCGACTGGGTGCCATGGAATGCTGGACATGGGAATACGAAGGGTCCGAATTCGCGTCCGAATCGCAAGGCCATGACGCGGGGGAGCAGTCGAGACTCCATCCCGCGCTGGATCCTGAGGTCGACGAGCTATGTGACCCGCTTGTCTTCGATCTGTGCGCATATGCCAGTACCCTTGGCTCAAAGCAGCCGGAAGTGGCCGAGTCTCGAGTCCGCGATGTTTTCGCGCTCATCGACACCGTAGACTTCAAATATGTGCCTCCCTTTGAAGCCCTGTCGCCCGATCCGCTGGGTTGGCTCGCGGAATGTCTTGAACGAATCCGAGTCGACAAGTCCACAATAGAAGGAGAACAACTGCCCCCGGTATTCCATCCGCCGCCGATGCTGCAGCACAAAGTGCTCTGGATGACGGACCACCTAGTAGTGAAGAGCATGGAGATCGATATCTATGCCGAAGAGGAGCAGTTGGGAACGATTGAAGTGCGACATAACGAGCTATACCACGCCAACAAGTCTGAGAAGGGCGATGTCCTGGAGACCGTCGGAAGATGGTGGGCACAGACGTCCTCGGAAGCCAGCGGAGCGCCGAACGGCGAGCGGGTAGGAGATCGCTCCGTGTTCAAGGGCCTGAGGGTAGTCAGTACTAGTCCGGAAGATGCAGGCACTGACACACGCCGTTGGAGGCTGGATGTGGGCCGCGTGAGACAGTGAGCGATGCGCTCCTTAAGTTGTTGTTTAACCGCGAATGAATCTTGATTCAGAGTGCAAGCAGCGCCGTCGCCGCCGAAAGGCCCGTGAGCTGGGCCCATCTGAGAAGAGCAGAAGAAGAAGAAAAGGTGCCACGTCAGCCGTGACGTCAGCCGCATCACCTAAGTATCTGTTACGTGCCACTCACATCAACCACCGGCTGATCGTTTACCCGCTTCTTGTTCCTGACGACCACCATCCATTTCTGTCCCACGCACGGGCATCGGCGCTCCCATCTTCGGTGGTGGACTAAGTACTGTCCCTGCCGCCCCGCGCTGGCCAACGCTATCATTCCAAAGCCATCACAACGTCGATCTTACACACCCCACTGGCATGGCGTGGGGCATCCATAACACGTCTATCGGTGCCTGGTCGCAACGAAACGAAGCATCATTCATCTTAGGAAGTGCACGGACGGGCGGAATGGAAGACCGGCAGAAGATAATAAAGTTTTTGCGCCGGCCGTTCAAGTTGCAGCTTGTCGCCAGTCGTGCGTCAGATTTCGACGTTTTTCGTGCGCTCTGGATGCTGAGCGGCCATTCTTGGGGTATATAAACAGCACAACTCTGCCGGGGCCGCTCCAGTGGACCCTTCACCACCCAAACCAACCAAACTCCCCACCAATCAATCGAAGGTGCGGTCTTTTCATCCATACTACCCTCGTATCACATTCCGCAGCCCATGAGCGTTTCCTCCGCGTTCAACTTCACGCGCCTGACCGGCACGTGGCACAACGAGCTCGCGTCCGTGATGCACCTCAAGGCGGACGGGCGCGGCGGGCTGAGCGGGTCGTACAACTCCGCGGTCGGCAACGCGCAGGACAACTACGTGCTCACCGGGCGCTACGACACGACCCCGCCCACGGGCGAGGGCGTCGCGCTCGGCTGGATCGTCGCGTGGAAGAACAACGAGCTCGACGCGCACTCCGCGGCCGGGTGGAGCGGCCAGTTCTACGCCGGGGCCAGTGAATTGGAGGATATCATATTGACGCAGTGGCTGTTGACCACCAGCACGGCGCCGGCGGATAACTGGGAGAGCACCCAGGTCGGGACGGACCTGTTCAAGCATCAAGAGCCGACGGCCGCGCAGGTGAAGCGTGCCACCATGGAGGGCCGCGCGCTCCCGCATCCCGAGCAGATAGTCGCCAAGCGGAGTCGTGTGTTGTAAAAATATGATTAAGTACTAGTAGTACTAACCAAGTACTAACTAACATGGGTCATTGTATTACTTGTCTTTCCGGAACCGAGAACATATAAAATCTTTTCATCACAGGAGTTCCTGTTTGTAATGACAATATGAAACTTTTTGCGCTTTTCTTCTGTAGTGTGTCCCAATAAGGAAATTGCACCTCTCTTGCTTTGTCATCATGCAGCAAGACGAGCTCGATGCTGGCTTGTCCATGCCAGCTGGTGAAACCGACCTACAGATGATTGGTTACTCTATGCTTGAGCTCTCAGGAGGTGCGTCACTATCACTCGTTCTTTCTAGACTCCAAGCAAATGCAGGCCATAATCGATTCCGAGTCATTCCCTACCATTACACTGAAGACATGGTTCCACCACCCCAGGAGAAGGGCAAAAAGAAGAAGAAGAAGAAGACTAAGCCACCATCGAAGAGAGCCACTGCCACAACTACTGCCAAAGCTACCACATCCAAACATTCTTCCAACACAATCTCTATCGACTCTGACTCTGACTCTGACCGTGAATCGGACATCAGCCCACCACCAAAGAAGAAGGCGAAGAAAATTGAGGAGGATATTGTCCCCGCAGACCTCTCTGAGGTCACAATTATTGGTTGGGCGCATGTTCAGAAGCCACCTGCTGCCGCTTCACGTTCGGGAGGGACTCGCAGCCGGAAGACAGTAATAGAGTATCTGAAAAGAGGCCCTTTCAAGTTCACATCTCACTTGACATTCAACGAATTCCTATCCAGCATGGCTGCCATTCTCCCTTGTCCTCCCACTAATCTTGTTGTCCCCGAACTCGAGGCCACACGGCCCACACCTGACAAACCCGCGTTCACGGCGTTGCTCATCAAAGTCATCCAACTGAAGCCACTGGCAGGGGAACGTGTTGTACATGTTTTTATGCCGCCACCAACAAAGCCAGCGGAGAATTTGGTATCATCTTTTGTGCTGCTGACCGTCATCCTTGCTTATAGCTTTGATAGCATTGGGATACAGGAGAAGATAAGGTGGAGGCAACATTTGACTATGACAAACTGCAAGCAGATTTTCTGAGTGACTCTGTCCAAGCCCAAGCAGTATGTTGCCTTTTCTCTCTATCATCCAACTGATTATAGAAAATTAGCGCACATTCAATGCCGCTATTATTGATGAGAAGACACAGCTCCTTGCGACATATCAGGAGGGCAATATTCTGCATATCGATCCGAAGAAACGTATATATCATGACAAAGACCATGACCATTATTTCGACCTCACAACAACACGCATCAATGTGTGGGCCAAGGCTATTGTGTATTGACATTAAGTATTTGTTCAGCACTGACCTGTCTGTCTCTAGGCTGATAAGATAACCGATATCCACACACCGCCATTTGACAGCCGCTTTTTCGATGATAGTCAGAAACTTACGATCCGGAAATCGACCTTTGAAACCCAGCATGCTGTACCACACTCTCCCTCGACTCCCGTCTCTACATTCCCAACCTCAGCTTCTCTCCCTGAACTTCTTCTTCTTACAATGATGACACAAAGCGGCCGTCGGCTCCCATTTGGGTTTCCCCTGAATACACTGAACACACCATCGACTTAACCTCTCCCACCATCGCCAATCAAGCCTCATAATGTTACGGTCGATGATTTTGTTGCACACTACAATTTGGATATAAAGGACGCTCGGTGTCTTGAGGAGATGCGGACTTCCGTCCCGGGGATGCAATTTCAGCGGAGTTCAACAAAGATGCGGAGGTGGCGGGGTTCAAAACATTGTCATGGCAGCGTGTTTACCAGGCCAATACTCACTTCAAAGCCGATTTGAAGGCTGGTATGTTTGACCATGGACTTTACTAGTGTTTTCCTCTCTCTATACATTCCCAATGCATTGACTGTTTTTACTAGTATATCATAGCTGTTGTAACTGTAGTCTACTGTCTGCCCTCGCATATTCACGTTGATACAAGTGTTCAGTCCCAAATATAGCCTGCATGTCTAAACCAAGCAGTCGCCTTCTCTGGAGTGATGCATGCAGTTGATTTGTGAAGAGCATCAAATGGATCTGGTTCGGTAGCAATCATTCGGCTGTTGGCGCGTAGATAGCTTTTCCCTATCGGATAGTACAATCAGCACAAATAGTATATTGTTCAGCCAACGCAGATGTTGAAAAGGACTCTTCAATTAGGTTCAAATCTGGAGAGTAGGGAGGAAGAAACAGAATCATAACCCCTAGAGTCCACTGGGAGTAAGTACTGTAGCATTTTATTCAGTTCGGCAGTCACGCGTCACACCGGCCTCAAAATGCCGAAATTTTTTCGGCGGTCACACCCCACAGCCCAGATGCCGAATTCCCTTGGCTGATTTACCATTTTTGGGTGGCGCGGCCCTGCGGGCCGCACCGTAATATGCCGAAAATTTTCGGCGGTCACACTCGGAGCCGCCGGACGCCGAAAATTTCATTTCGGCGCCGATGTCACACCCAATTCGGGGTGCCGAATTGAATAAAATACTACAGTATAGATACTTGAATACCAGGTCTCGTACCATTGTCATTCAGCACTTCTTTCAGAGCTTCTGTGTGGTGAATTCTGCAGTTATCAAGCACAAGGACACTCTGAGCCTCTGGATAAGACTTCATCTCAGGAAGCTGGAGACAGGTTAGAGTTGTTGCAAGATAAAATAATAGAGTAACGCACGACATCTTCGACGATGAAATCAAAAAACTCGGATGCATTCATAGAACCCTCTACAATCCGTGTTGCAATATAGCCTGAGGTGCTCATTGCAGCTGTCAATGTGTATCGCTGACTGCGGATGAAGACTTCTGCTGACTCGGCAGGTTTTCCAGATGGAGACCGTCCATAGCGCCGCGACAATGTTCGCTCGTCTTTGCTTGACTCATCAACTGCAACAAACTCAAGACCAGTGCCCGAGAAATAATCTGGGTTCTGAATCAAATTCTTGAAATCTGTGCGTCGAGCTTCATCACGCTCCTTGGCCAGCTTTCGGAGGACCTTGCGAGTCAGGCCAGCACGCTCCAGAGTTGTTTGAAGGGCAGAGATAGAGATAGGGAGATCATGATGGATTGTGAAGTGAAACTGAAGCTCATGGAGCATCACAGTGGGGTCATTCTTGAAGATATTGCGTATTGCGGACCGCGGTCAGAACAGCCATTGAAACAATGTGATCCCGTCCCATCAGAGTCGAAGGAGGTTTGCACGGTGTACCCCATTCCTCAAAGATACGCCGCCAACGGAAGAGACTAGTCGCAGACACGCTCAGTGCCAAGCAAATGTCATCTCTTGCCCAGCCAGATTCCCAGAGATGTAAGGAGCTGTAGTGGTAATATTTAGCCTAAACAGCTCTAGGAATAGCTAGAATAGCGGTAGCCTAGAAATCTAGGTATTCCTAGTCCCTATGTTCTAGCAGTGCAATTACTATGATATTATTCTTTATTTATTTATTTTCTGCCTCTATATTGCCTTAATTTTGATGGGGATTGTAGTCCTTGATATATATTATTGATGTGGAACGATTTTTTGATGGCCATCAGTAGTTTTGATCACTGTGTCAAGCTACATCATTTTAGTCCCAATTAGGATACTTCTGGACACAGGCCTTCCCCACTATATACCGGGTCATTGGCCTGAAGAAAAGGAGTTAGCATTACTATATAAAGTATTTTTAGCATCATATCTATCAATTTGATGTATTAATAACCTATTTCTAAAGTCTTTCTTGGCTGGGAAAAGTCTTCCTAGAGTTTTAGGCTACCGCTATTCTAGCTATTCCTAGAGCCCAGGCTAAATCTTACACCTACGGGTGACGTAAGGCACATTGTTTCATGTCGAGACTGATTTTCCTGTTGCCCAAGAGCGTTATTTAGTTTGTAAGAATGCCTGGAAGCGAAAGGAACTCGGTATCGGTGCAAGAAATGAATAGGTGAATAGAAACAGCTGATTTCCTTATTGGGACACACTACAGACAAAAAGCGCAAAAAATTTCATATTGTCCTTACAAACAGGAACTCCTGTAATTGAGGGCTGGACCAAGCTCGGATCGGCTATTAGATATCGTATTTCTGAACAAAATAATATTCCATGATATTACTTATTATCTCTCATATCAATGCGACTGTACTTATTATGCATCATAGATAATATCTATAACGATACAGGCATAGTTGTATAATCTCCATGTAGTAAAAAAATGAACTTGAAGTGCTTAAGTAGTACAGAAAAACAATGTATATGATTTTCTGGTAACTCTCAGTTTACACGATATCGTGCAGTTTGTGTATATCCATGTGCTCGTTCCTATGCGCCAAGGTCCAGTACCCAGGAGGTACTTACTAACACACAACATAACAGACAAGTACATTTATTCGGAAGAAGCTCAACACGCTTTTGTTCCGCTTCCTGCCTACTCCCCGCGCTTTGCGTTCTTGGCGACGATCTGCTGCGCGGTGGGCGACCCCGCCCCGCGCGCCTGCGCCTTCTGCACCTCCGCGGTTGTCGGCACCACGGGCATGAACGTGTCCGTGTTCACATTCGTGCTCTCCCAGTTGTTCGCGGGCGTCGTGCTCGTCGTCAATAACCACTGTGTCAGAATGATGTCCTCCAGCTCCGTTGCGCCCGCGTAGAACTGGCCGCTCCACGCGGCGGTCGAGTGCGCGTCGAGCAGGCTGTTCTTGTACGCGACGACCCAGCCGAGCGCGACGCCCGTGCCGCTGGGCGGCGTCGTGTCGAAGCGACCAGTGAGCACGTACTCGTCCTCCGCCGTGCCGACCGCCGAGTTGTACGTCCCGCTCAGCCCGCCCGCGGCGTTCGCGGTGAGGTTCATCACCGACGCGAGCTCGTTGAACCAGACCCGCGTGAGGCGGGTGAAGTCGAAGGCGGCGCCGACGCTCATTACTCGCAGTTGTCTGTGGAGCGGTTAGACGCGGGCCGTCTGGCGGGGAGGCTACGCACTTGGGAGGGAGCTGGGGCGAGAAGTTGGGGCAGCGATCTGCTGCCAGCCCGTATATATATCGCGGAGCCAGCAGAAGCACGGTGACGCACACCTGACGACGACGCTCAGTGGTTGCCGCGGCGGTACGGCAGCAGGCGCTAAGAATACCCCCACGCCGGACAGACCGCGCGAGCGGCGCCATTCAGCGGCTGGTCACGCACGCTGCAGCCATCGACGTGCGAGGCACGAACGCTCAGATGCAGCAGAAGCTGTCGCCCCGAGGGCCCGGGCCATCACGATCATTGCCCCTCGGAAGAATCGCTGTCGACGTCGCAGAAGAGAACTCGCAGGGGCCGCAGAACCAGAACCGCGCGGGCTTCATCCCCGACCCTGGGTGCGCATGGAGCGCATCCATTCATCCATTCATTCGCAGTCAATAAACTGCTGGCACCGGCAGAACGAAGTTAGCTGGACATTCAATGCAGAGAACCCGCGCGACGCACCTTTCCTCGTTCGGCATCTGCCGTACTCTGGCTGCCAGCCATCGACTTCCCATCGACCCGCAAAGCCAGTCCCACCTGACACCATCCGCGAAACCAGGGCATAGCGCCCGCAGGGAGTGCCACGTCATGACCGCCGAAAGAAAAAGAAGTCTTCCATTTTGGGACGCCGGTCACAGTGACAACGCCGGTCACAGTGACAACGTCACGACCGGCGTCCTTCCCACGGTGTCGTTAGATACCACACAGATCATGAAAACTTGACATTTTTAAAAGGACAAAATTAATACTTATTGTTGGAATGTGGACAGCTCGGGGGGAACTCGCTTAGGACAGCACTCGGGGCAGGGAGATCTGATCAAAAAGTGGTGTAAAAAATTCAATCTTTGCAAAACTTCTTTTCTTTAAAAACTTATATATGTGTAGGTGTATGTGTGCGTGTACATGTATGTGCATGTGTAATACATACTATGTATGTACCTGGAACCTTTCAACACACATAGCAGGCCATGTAAACTCTTCAATATCCTCACCTCCCATTAATTACCTGATGATGGGCCTGTGATAGGAGGCTATCCAAGCTCATGGGCCTGAAGGTATATATATACAAGGAGGGATAAGGCCGCAAGTGGCAGGAGCCGCACTGTCTAGGCGATCATGTCAGGGGAACCCCCACTTCGGCCTCCTTCGGACCCTCCGAACGCATCCAAGGCGCATCCGACCGGCGCCCCCTCGGACGCTCCGACCCACCCCGACCATCGTCCACGGCCTCCTTCGCCCGCACAATCACCGATCCATCAAGACCCTCCCAACAATCACCTTGGGACAGAGCCTGCGACGCCGCTCAGGCCTTCTGCGCTCTACATCGGCAGCTACAGACGACCAGTATATAGTTGGCACCCTAGCAGGTGGACCCTTAGTCTGTTAGAGTTTCTTCTCTTTGGATCCTCCCCTTCTAGGTCGGTCCCTCTGTGTATTTCCGTAGCTCATATTCATGCTTTGGATCCTCCCCTGGTGGGCTTTTGCCAGAGTCTCCAGGGTTGCCCTTACACTGACACGTCGAGTAACACTGCCTCTTTTTGTTCCTTTCACCCTCCTGCTTCGTTCTCCCATGCCCAAGAGCCCCAAGGCCAAGGGCCACTCGCGTGCCAATCCAGTCACCGCCTCTCCTGTCCGCCGTTCCCCTCGCGGCAAGAACACTGTCACAGTGTCACTGTTGTCACGTCACCGCTGCCTCAAAGAAACGGAAGGGTGGTGCGAAAGGTGGGGCCAAGCACAAGCCCGACTTTGCGCCGATTGCGTGGACCGTGGATAATAGCGTGCTTACCTGGGCCCTCGCTGCTGCCATCCAGACTGAGAAAAACCGGAAAGTGCTTTTTGGAAAAAACACTGCGGCCGACGGTGTGAGTCACCTATGTCCTGTTCTTGTTATTTATCACTTACCTCTATCTCCAGAACACTGTTGGCAAGCGCAAGATCGTCATCTTCAAGGAGATTGGCCAGGAAATCCGTCCGAAAATCGTAAAACATTCACTAAACAAGCTAGCCCTCCGCATCAAGGCCAAGTTTGGTGTGTGCCCCACTGACCTTCCTGTTCATTTGTTGACTTGAGTAATAACTCCACAGGCCGATGACCCAGTACAAGACTGAGGCCAAGAAGCTGTGGGTCACTGGTGGAGGCGTTGGCGCAGACGACGACAAGAACGTGGAGGATGGGGATACCGAGGGTGAGAGAAACAATGTGCACGAGTACCTCGACTCGTACATCCCAGCCGAGGGTCCAAACGAGCAGACCTCTGCTGCGGCCGTCAACATCTGGGGTTCGTGCTTTTGAGGGCTGTTTGAGTTGTTGGAGAAGATAGGAAGAAGGACCGAGAAGACAAAGCGAGAAGACAAAGGGCGAGACACGGAGCATGTTTTTGAATCGCTTCTGGTCATCTTTGGTGCCCTGAGCATAAATCCAAGCCAAATGCAGATTGCCGGCCTTAATCACACACTCGCGGGGGCTGAGATAGCGCGTATTTTGGAGGAGTTTGAGTGTTTTAATGTCGGCCATCATCCTGTCGAGAAACTCCGCAAGTTTGTCATCCTCACCATTGTCCCCAGCGCCGCCTTCTCCAAGCAAGGTGTCACGAATGATCATCCAGACCATATAGGCCCGCAGAGCCATGTCGTGGTGTGTTCAGCGTGCTATAATGGTCGGGGTCGAAGGCGACAGTTCATCTCAGCATGCTTGTCTTTAAATGGTGCTTATCGGCCCACAGATCCTTGAGAAACAAGGCAAACACGCATTTTGTAGATCAAGAGATTAACATCGGCTAATGTGCACATAGGTGACCGGGTGACAAGGTCTCGGTGCCGAGCATCACTGGCATCAGCAGCATGCTTGTCTTTAAATGGTGCTTATCGGGCCCACAGATCCTCGAGAAACAAGGCAAACACGCGTTTTGTAGATCAAGAGATTAACATCGGTTAATGTGCACGTGGGTGACCGGGTGACAAGGTCTTGGCGCCGAGCATCACTGGCATCAGCCGCTAGTACGCAGCCGAGCCAGTTGTGGCACAGTCTGCGCCACAGACCTGCGCCAGACTGCGCCATCTGCGCCAACTTTAAGCCATACTAGTCTTGGTGCAAAAGATGTACATTAGAAGGTTAAGGAGCTCTTAAGTTGTAGATACAAGTTATATTGCCATATTCCTGAATGTATTGCAGCTGCTAGCTAGGGATACTGGCAAATAATAAATAATTCCTGGATATAAGGATGAATAATGTTGAGTTCCAACACTTGTTTTTTGTCCAAGTTCATTCTAGTATCAATAATGATGAATAATTTGAGGGGTACAGTACGCCCGGGCACATCTTGATTGCCAGTTAGTGGCAATGTAACATCTCCCGAAGGATTCACGTTCTCATTTTCCCATGGCCTGGCAAATTTTTGATGAGTGTCTAAATCGAAAGCTTTTAGTTGTGGCTACCTGCTAATAAAATATCTAAGAAATCGGACAAGCATTGACAGAGTTGTGATTTTGTGAGGGTCAAAAAGTGAAACATTGTGAGAAACTGGGCCTTTTACGGCGCGGATTCATGCCGTGTTACCCAGAAAGTCATGGAAATGCATCTTTTACCCAAGATCTGTTCCCTAATGAGGGTGAAATGCTAAAAAAAGACAAATTTTCAAAAAAGGTCAAATATGTAAAACTGGGCAAATGAGGTGTATACACCTACCAGAATATGTGAAGTGATCTCTGTATATTCTTGGAGGATAAATTATGATAAACATTCTAAGACATGCGCATGCAGGACTGGTTTACATAAATAGTAAGGTCTATAGACTGAGTGTTGGACCTTCAGGTAGGTGTATGAGGATATTTAAATGTCTATAAGGATTCTGAAACATAATCAGTTATGGTTCTGCCATGTGTGACTAATTGCATTCGGGAGAGTTCTAATTTATTTGCAAATGTAGAACAACTTTATCAAATATAGCTTCCAAGTTGATCTTGCTGTGACGTCCTATATAATTTTAGGCTTTGCCGCTGGTTTCAGTAAAGATGATATGTATGATCTAAATTTAGTTAGTTCAGAGATTGCCAAACAGGTAATAAAATGACCGTAATGACAGTAAAGTCCACTGTACCTTCTGTCAGGTCTTTCTACACGCCATTTAACTCTGAGAGTTTTACCTGATACTACACCCTAGCCCTTATCCTTCAAGCTAGTCTAAGAAAAAAGCATAAACCAAAGCACCTATAAACGAAATCAACTAGGGACTTAAAGTACAAGGGACTAACTCACAAATGATCCTAATATGTTAAGGTAGTAATTCTTTTCTTGTTTGCTGAGGCTTCAGTGCAAAGACGGCAGGAAGGCATTTTAAGGTGGTTGAGAAGTGTTCTCGCTAGGATAGTATAGAAGGCTTTTGAGATCTACTGACTGGGAACTAGCAAGCTCTAGAACTTGAGGGAAGTTCTGTTGCAAGCTATTGATAATGTTAAATCATTCAGCGCTTTAATAGTAGAGAAATTAAGAGGATATTTTATTAGATTTTAACAGTTACTAAGTAAAAAGTACTACTTTTGTTAATGAGCTAATAATAACAATCACTAGATATCTTGAATTTAGTAGAGGCGCTGCAAAAATTCTATATAACCATAACTGTTATTATTAGTGTTTATTGAAAACAGCAAAATTTAAACACACTCTTAATATAACTTGATGCAAATATTGTTCATTGTAACTGCTCACTCGTTTTTAATAACTATGCACTAAAAGCTAACATCAGTTATGGTAGTAACTCACTCAGAGATGAGAGGCCCCTTATGGATTAAAGGTAGGAAGTATACAGAGGGGTTCTCTGATGATATGATATCCCTCACACTATCTTATATATATATATAATATGCTGTTATTCTCCAATATCCCCCTGAAACGACTTTTATATCATATTAACTATATAGCTATAATCTGGTAGTTGATTATGGATTAAATATGTAAAGGTTTGGTAAATGAGGTGTATACACCTCTCTGCATACTTAAATTGATCTCTGTATATTCTTAGAGGATAAATTGGGGTGAACATTCCAAGACATGCACATGCAGTACTAGTTTATATGAATAATGAGGTCTACAGACTGAGTGTTGGACCTTGAGGTGGGTGTATGAAGATATTTGGATGTCTACTAGGACCCTGGAACATAATCA